TATTATTAATGATATTGAATCGCTCAATGTGTAATAACAAGAAAATCAAAGCCTCCAGCTATTGCCTGTTCTCCACCAGCAGGGCTTCATCTTGTAGTGTTGCCTTCAGTGGCGGGTGTGTGAATAAAATCATACCAAATCTAATAATTTATTGATTTAATTTTTAAAACATTGATTATATTTTAAACTATTTTTATAATAATTTAGCAATATCTTAAAAACTATTTAAATATTATGACTCGTTAAGCATCGTTGACTGTGTAATTTAAATATTATCTTGAAAAATTAATTTATTTAGCAATATCAGGTGGTTATAATAATTCCTTTATTTTTTTAACCTATAAAAACAATAATTAATCCAGTCATCTAGTGAGAGTATATATCTATACTATATATTCCCAGAAAAAATAAATGGAAATTAACAGAGAAGCCCCGCCCCGTCCGGGTCCACCACCCGCAGAGTCAGCGTTTTTATCGGCGATGAGTGGTTTATTTTTTATCGTCTCTTATCTCCTCTCCGTTTCTGCTTCTTTGCCAATTCCCTCTATTGCTACCGCTAGCGCAGATGCTGATCTCACTCAACCATCTTTCACTCCTATCAACCGGGATCTTTACCATTCCAGGTATGTTTTTTCTTCATTGCCATTAGTTTTAATTCTTTATTTGTTTTTCAATCGTGATTAAAATTATTTGTATTTTTTTAATGGCGTTCGATTTAATTTGAAAAATATAGCCTCGTCAAATAGAGTAGGTTGGACTATTTTAATTTTTCTCTAACATTTTGGCTGATGAACGAATCTTTTGAATCCGAGAAAGAATTGAAAAGAGTAGGTTTGCTGCAAATTCGTGCGTGAAATAGATAAGCTTGAAATGCAGCTTACAATTAGAAATCTTAGTAGATTCGAGTAGAGTGATCTCTATGAAAATGTGTTATTGATGCTTCAAGTTGGGGAATTTCTATAACAAAATGTGTTCCCGATACTTCCTTAGCCTGCTGTTGTCAAATTGACTGTGTGATCTCTCTTTCAAGCAGAGATTCGAAGCCTTAAACCTCCAGATTAATTTCAGAGAATTACATGATATCCTCTCTGTTTGTAGATTAGTTTGGTATGGTGGAATCTGCAAGAATATAATTGAATGCCACATTTTGACCTTTCTGCCATGCTTTTTTCAGTTGAGTTTTTTTTAGATCTAGACACATGAGAACAAAAGGAGTAACAGTCCAAGAATAGACTGGAAGAACAAAATGAACTAATCTAGTCAAGACCATTGAAATGGTTGGAAGCATCTAGTTCAGAAACCAAACATATGTTCAATTATTCTTTTCAATCCTTGTGTTAAAAGTACAGCTGAACTTTAGAGTTCAGAGTTTTGTTATCATGTTTTAATTTACTTTGTATTATTTTGCAGTGATGCTTTGATTGAACAAATAAAGTCTTTGGTGCATCGACACCCTGACAAACTCACTGTAGGTGAACTACATGTTATATTTGGAAACAATTTTTGCATGAGAATTGGGTTTTATATTATTCATGCCATAAACAGGTAGAAACAATTAGAGCTGGAAACAAAGGGTACAAGTCTGAGATAACTGTTGTTACTTATTGCCATAGTAAGAAAGACGGTGATGACAAATCCAAGTTCCGGATCCTTCTTGTAAGTTCCTGCATAATCATATTTGGTAAATAGTACAGCAAGAACAATTGATAGTTTGCCTTGTAGATATTAAAGATGGTACCAGATTGAATCCACTGCTTAACTTTGCATACAGTCAATGTATCTGCTAACCTTTTTCTTATCTGGTATGTAGTTAATGCATGATCTCAGATTAGTACTTGCTGTTTTTTTTTTGACAGATTATTCATTGTCTTCCAGAGTTTTGGGCAGCATGGACGGGAGCTTATTACATCTGAACTTGCATTGCGGATCTTGTCAATCTTAAGTGAAGAACAGTTTCTACCAAAAATGGACCAAGCTTCTTTAAATGCTACCCTCGATAATGTTGTCGTAAAGGTAACATTTTTTACTTGCAAGAACATTCCTGGCTTTTGTTGGGCCTCTGTATAGTGAAGTGACTTGTTTAAGAAAATTTAGTTTACTCAAACTTCAACTATGAACTTGCTACTGGAGGAAGTATGAATAAGATTTTTTTTTCACTTAATACGAGCATGTGATGCTAGACTGCTTGAGAGATACAATATACAGACCATATGCAACTTGAGTGCTAACATCCGATAACATGGCAGGTAGTGCCGATGGAGAATCTGAACTGTCGGAAGCTTGTTGAAGCAGGAAATCTTTGTGAAAGGAGAAATGGTATTTCAATTTTATCTTAACGATATAAAACATCTATGATCTTGTGATAAGAAGTTGAAATCTTTAAATTGGGTTTCTTTGACAGGGAGAGGAGTTGATCTTAATAGGAATTGGAGTGTAGACTGGGGAAAAAAGGAGAAGGTTCATCATTTCTCCATTTTCTTCATGCAAATCCTCTTTGATATAGTTCTTTCTACAGTTTCATGTTTAAGTTGTATGTCCATTTACATGATGTTTTTTATTCATATATTTTATTCGAATATAGGACTGATCCATTTGAAGAGAATCCTGGAATTGCTCCTTTTAGTGAGCCTGAGACCCAGATCATGCGTAAACTTGCCGTATCATTCGATCCTCACATATGAATTAATGTACACTCTGGAATGGAGGTGTAATCATGAATTACATGTTAACAATTCTTTCTTTTTACTTCAAGTATTGGTTTTCCTTAACTATTGTGCAACCTTTAAGCTATTATTTTCTACATCATAAATACCTTTTTTGGACATTGAAACCTCTAGGAGATATCTAGATTCACTAATAGGAAATTTTCTTTTACCTATTGTGAAGATGAATCAATCCTGTTGGTTCATTATGCATCCATACATGACAAAAACATAAAATCTCATAAATAAAATGATATTAATCCATAATCAAGAGAAAACTTTGGATGTCTAATCCTGTATAACGTTGCTTTATGCTTTTTGTATTTGACTTTTCTCTTAGAAATAGGTCAGATTTGTTGCCTGTATGACACACTTCTTGTTTTTGATTTAATTCATGTAGGCACTATTTATGCCATATGACCACAAAAACAGAACCCCGGATGGATTGCCTTCTCAACAAATGAGATTCTTGCTTGAGGAGCTGAATAATGTTCATTGCCACAAGCGTTGCATGATTGGTTCTGGTGGAGGTTCTGTCTGGTTTGTATTCTTATACTCGAAGCAATGATGATAAGTCATGCTAGTTATAATAAGTCTATAAAATCTAATTGTAATACTCAAGAATGTGAGTGATGGGATCAGTCCTCAATAAAGCTTTTGGCATCGGCAATTAATCATTTTACTAGTGGTGTAAATAGTTCTTGACAATAACATCAGTCCTAAACTACCTATTTTTGTACTAGAACACCTAAATATGCAAGCAAAATATCCTATTGGACCAGCCGGTTGTACCCGTCATACCGGTGGTACTACAAAGCGATCACTGGTTTCAAATATATTGTTAAAAGTATTAAAAAAAAGTTGTGTATATTTTACTTGTTTTTCATGCAATTTCATTCCACTAAGATATGAATGTTATTGATTTCAGGTATATGGTACATGGGACAGCAACAGATTACATGTATGATGTTGTAAGAGTTCCCATGCCATTCACCTTTGAGGTATTTGAATTGTAAACTCTCTTTCCACAAAGAAAAAAAGAAGAAGAAGCAAATTTATCTCATTGATAGGCATACTTGTATGTTCGGTGGCAGATCTATGGAGATAGTACGGCAACAACAAAAGACTGCTTTAAAATGTTCAATCCAGTTGACCACACCACCTTCAAGGTATGTTAATTTGCCTCTTTCACTAGTTGGTGTACCGGTAACAGCTAAACAAAGATTTTATTTTGATTTTCAGAGAGTTCTCAATGACTGGGCTGCTGCTTTTTTCACAATATTTAAGCTGGGACCACAGCAGATTGATGTCCAATCCAAGGCACATAAGGTGGACAAATGGGTGTCCATTGATGAATACTTCGATGGTTACCTAATGGGAAGGAGAAACAGATACGGGAAGAAGATGGAGGTTATCGAGGTCGGAATGCAGGAAATAAGAATGTATTTCAGACTTTTCTTGCTGTCCTCTGTACTGTTATTGTTCATGTTCTGTTCTCGAATTTCGAAAGCCGGCAGGCAGATTGTCTCGGCCATTCCTCTTTGAATTTTTATGTTGGATACGAACTGAGGACAACAGCACGAGAATGTTGTGACTTTGTACACGTTAATTAGATGCCTCCTTTTTTGTATGTCGATTACTTTCTTCTTAGATACTGTAGATATCATTTTTACCATTTCCTGTGTATCAAAACTAATTCTTGTTAGCAAATTAAGCCACAAGCTGAAGCTATTGACTACATTACTCTTTATTTTTATTTTGATATTTTCAATGTTCGAGGGTTTATCTAATGAAGGTCTTTAGAGGCTAGAGCGTTTGCAGGCATGGCAAAATATATTATTTCTTCTATAAAATGAAACTTGGAGAACAGAGGTTAAAGTACATTTTGAATGTTGTTTTCTATAGAATGTTACTTGTTCAAAGATTCAATAGTCCTAACATAAGGCGAATGTTCCTCATTCCAAGCTTCAGAACACGGCTCGTAGAGTTCGATCACTCCGACGTGTCACACAAGGATGACCCTGCATGGCAACATGAATAGATTGTTCATGAGAAACAGTTTATGAAGAAAAAAAAAGTTTACTGGATGTAGCAGAAGATTCCCATGTAGGTTAAAAGTCTCCATTCACCAATACCAAAAAAAAATCATTGTAGGTTCTTTTAGCTGAGGAACTTGTGAGCCGAAACCGCAAGGAAAACTCCCTTGCTTGTTTTGTGATGGCATTATACAAAACGTCCGTATATCAGAAGATCACGAATAGTACCCTCAAATTGATAAGTCAAACACCAATGTGTTCTGTCATTAATTGCTTTAGTCATATGGATTATGGATTGTCAACTAGGACTTCACCGCTTGCTTCATGTATCTCAAAGCAGACAGCAACATTGCCCTAGCTTTCCTATCAGGAGTGCAACCAGACAAAATCATCTCTTCAAAGACAGACGGGACCTGAATCCAAACCATACAGGGCATCAATAACAAAAACATGTATGTTAATTATAAACAGATGCCATGGTGCAATGCATTACATCCACAACAACTATGATAGTAGCAGCATTGTGTTATGATTGTAGAGAAATCGAATAATAGGTAATAGGAATTAGAGAGAATTTTAGAGAAGAAATGCTTTTTCATTCATAACATAAGGAATTCATCATCACAACTCATTTTTATTTAGTTACAAGCTAACAGGACCTAAGGATTGCCAGCTGGCTGTCCTTTCTAACTGAATATAACAAATTCATTCTATCTCCATTTCTTTTACAGATATGAGCTATTGAACTCGACTATTTTAACTCTTCTTGGGCCTGCTCCAGTTGCTTCGGATCCGGTTCAACCCGCTCCAAGTCTTTCTGATCCACTTCAGAGGGTAAGTGATTTACATTTCCCTCACGTGCCTCAATCCCCAATTTTTCCTGTTCAATCCCTAGCCCTCGCCTCTCTTCCCCCAATTCTTCTTCGTGCCCTCGCCTTTCTCCTCCCACTATGACAATACCCACTCCTCGAGAGGATCCTTGTCCCCAAGGATCAAAGGACGAAAACTGGCCTCGGAGAACGGAGTAATCTTCCCAAGTGTCACTCGAAGCATCCAGGTTAGTCCATCGAACGAGCAACTGGCCTGTTATTGCGATTAATAATTCGTCTTCCCAAACTCTGACTTGGTTCTAAGCGAAACTGACCCTCTTCATCTACCACAGGAGGCTCTGTCGAAGATGTTGTTGTCGTACCAATGTGTTTCTTCAACATACTGACATGAAAGACTGGGTGTAATCGAGACGTTTCTGGTAAGTCTAACTTATAAGCGACTTCTCCAATTCTTTCTATAATTTTGTAAGGCCCATAGAATTTAGCTGCTAACTTCAGATTATTTCGCAGTGCAAGGGAGGTTTGACGATACGGCTGTAATTTCAGGTAAACCTCATCCCCTACTGCAAAAAATCATTCTGAACGCTTTTTGTTTGCTTGTTGTTTCATTCGATTAGCAGCATGTTCTAACTGTTGTTTCACAATTTGCCTGATTTCTTCCCTGCTCCTCATTAATTCTCCAACAGAATATACTGTTGTATCTGGTTGCCAAACCATTGTAGGAGGCTTATAGCCATATAAAGCTTGAAAGGGTGTTAGGTTTAGGGTTGTGTGATAGGTAGTATTATACCATCACTCAGCATGAGCCAACCACTTAACCCACTGTTTTGGTTGCAAAAACTGAGTCCTCTTAGATACTGCTCAAGACATTAATTAACCCTCTCTATCTGACCATCAGTTTCAGGATGGTAAGCAGTACTGAATAGTGTTGTAGTGTCCAACTGCTTCATTAGTTCTCTCCAAAAGAGACTAATGAATATTTTATCTCTATCTGAAATAGCCATTTTAGGCTGGCCATGGAGCTTGTAGACAATGTCTAGATATAGCTTAACTACCTCAGCTGCAGCAGTGTAGGGGTGGGACAATGCCATAAAATGGTTGTATTTGGTAAACTTGTCTACTATCACCAATATACAATTTTTCTTTAAGGAAGTAGGTAAGCCATAATAAAATCCATAATAATCACCTCCCAAGCTTGTTGAGGAATAGGAAGGGGTTGTAGCAGTCCTTGTTTAGGTTTATGCTCCACCTTAATTTGCTAACAAACTGTACAACATCTGACATAGCTGACTGCCATAACTTTAAGCCTAGGCCAATAAAATATGATCTAATCCTCTGATAAGTATCCTGAGTCCCTGAATAACCTCCATGAGGGGAGTCATGTAAAACTGGAAGAATTTTAAGTCTAAGAGACCCATTAGAACCAATGTAAACTCTATCTTTAAATCTGAGTATCCCTTTTGAAAATTTCCAATTATGATCAGCAGTGGGTGTCACAGTTAATTTATTGATCCAATCAGCAGCTAATTTGTCATCCTTATAGTTGTCTTCAACTTCTTGCACCAAACTGATCAAAGTAGTTCCCATGGCAAGACATTGACCATGATCTTCCCATTGCCTTGAATCATCTGCTACAATATTTGACTTACCCTTTTTGTATTAAATAGTATAGTCCAGCCCCAGTAATTTAGTCAACCATTTCTTTTGAATTATGGTGGTCAGTTTTTACTCCAATAGATACTTTAGAGGTTCATGATCTGTTTTAATAATAAATGGCTTACTCTCTAAGTAATGCCTCCACTTAGAAACTACTAATAAAATAGCAAGATACTCCTTTTCATAAATGGAGAGAGCATCATGTCTAGGACTGAGAGCCTTGTTGAGATAAGCAATATATCTACCCTTTTGAGATAGAACAACACCAATTCCTCCTGAACTAGCATCTGTTTCCAAATAGAATCTCTTACTGAAATCAGGTAAGGCTAAAACAGGAGCAACACACATAGCCTGTTTTAAATTTTCAAAAGCAGTCAAAGCTGCAGTGGTCCACTGAAAATTGTCCTTAGTAAGCAATTGAGCCAAAGGCTTACTTATGGAGCCATAATCTTTAATAAACATCCTATAGTAACCAGTTAGACCCAAAAATCCTCGCAGTGATTTTAAAGATTTAGGAAGAGGCCAATTCTTCATAGCTTCTACCTTGGTAGGATCTATAACTACTTGATAACTCCGTAAAAAGACTATTTTTAAGGCCTTTTCAACTTAAGTTATTGTTTGTTTAAGGGTACATATAGGTCATTTTAGATGTATGTAGCTGCATATAATTGCATTTTGTGGTTGTGTTATTTTATTTTATTAAGGTGCTATATGGAGAGGAAGTTGTGGTTTTTAGTATGTGCAGGAAATAAGAAGCAAAATCGGCGAGCTGGGAAGTAATGCCACGGCATCACACGTTGCTGAAGCAGATTGAAATGCCTCGACATTTATGGTGCAGAAAACAACAAAAATATACAGCTGTACGTGGACAGTTGGCTCTGCACGTGGAATGATGGTTGTAACAGCCTGCTAGGGGACCACTGACACCTGGAGGATAAGGTTCATACACAACATGTGATTCTAGGGGTATGAGGGATATTTTACACCCAAAAATATCCCAACAACCTCATCATTACCCATAGATATTTATTATATATTACACTTCACAAGAAAGAGAGTGGGGTGGAAAGAAAGGAGACACATATTGTAGCAGAAAAATTAGATTTTTATTTTCCCTTTTTTCTTTCTTCTTCCTTGGGTTTTCCTCCATTGATAAAGCTTCAAGGAGTGGCGAGCTAGGCGCCGAGAGGAGCTAGCGAGCTAAAGTGGTTCGTGATGGCCGAGGAGACCTCCAGTGGCGCGCGTCGAAGGCTCTTTCTCACTTCCCTTTGCTGTTATTTTATTTATTTTATTTGTGGGTTGTTGGAATGAATATTTTGTGGATTTTTCTATGGATATTTCGAACCCCACCATGAACTAACTTATTTGGTGGTGGTTGGTTTAATGGATGTTTAAACTTTATTTTTAATGATATATTTAAGTTTATCTTGGTTCTCTATTTGCTTTGCTTATGAATGCTTCACCATCTAGGCTTATAAGAGGCAAGAAAATATTCATTACTTAGATGAAGGCTAGGTGTTCGGAAGAATCTTAAGCTAAAAATACTTGTAAGTATTCGGAAGAAACGCAAGACAAGATCCTCATAAGCAATGGGTTATAGTATTTTCAAGGGGCTTTGAACTGGCCTAGGAATATTATAACCTAATCCCTTAGATCTCGGAAGAGACTAGGATAGGATTTCAACGACTAAAAAGGGTGTCTTTATCAATAGGGTAGACTGTCTAACATCGTTGAGTGAGAGCATATGCCTTGGCATCCTATTCTGTTAGGTTCCTATGAGAACATTTTAGGAAAGCCCTGTCGAGTAAGTAAAGACCAGATAGCTTAAATCTGCCTGAGAGATAAATTTAGCATTCTTAGATCAATCACTACCATTCATTCCATTGAAAGCTTGTCACGTGAGGATTATCTTCTTTTTATTTTATTTATCTTTTATTTATTGTTTTTACCATTTTTCATTGTCTTGACATTTCATCATTTTCAACACTAAACATCTATTCTTGCCACTGCATTTCCATTTGCTACACCATCACACCTTCAATCCACATTCACCAGCATATACATATCCATTGCCGTGACATTTGTATATATCAAGACTAACTATACTTAGATAGAATAGTGCATAAACTTTACTCAATATCCTTCTAATCCATGTGGAGACGATACTCACTCATCACTTTATTACTTGAGCGATTGTGTATACTTGCACATTATTTGCGTATATTTTATAGTACTCACAACACGCAACAAGTTTTTGGCGCCGTTGCCTAGGATTGGCAATTGATGATGTTGAGTTTAGTTGTTGCATCGTTTTAATTATTTTCTTTGTACATAGTTGCTTGTTTTTGTGTTTACCTTTTTCAGGTGTTACGTTATCGCATGACACGTAAAAGACCCAAAGAACCATTATTTCATATAGAACCTGAGGCTCATGCTGTTCAAAATCAAGTGAAGGATCCTGCAGTTCAAAATGCCACGACAATTCCAAATGCTAGGAATGCTGCTCGACCACAAACTATTAGAGATTACTTAACTCCCACCTTGGATGACCTAAAAACTGCTATTATAGCTCCCAAGATTCAGGCAACCCAATTCGAGCTCAAACCGGTTATGTTCTGTAACACCCCAACCCGTATCCAACCCGGATACGAATTCGAGGTGTCACATTGACCTTTTAAAACATGTACTTGTATAAAATAGTGAGTAATTTAAAACTTTTATAACATATAAATGACTAATTTACATAAAAGACATTTTCATTATTACAAAACCAATCAGAGCGTGTATATTTCACTTATTTATTTACATATAACTATTCGAAACATTTATAAAACTGTTCATAGCTTAAACAATATATTCTTTTGAAAACATGCCAACTAGAACTTTATATACTAAAATACATATTATTCACATCTTTTCTGATCTGA